GGACCATGGAGTCATATTTGCAATTGTGGTAAGCTAAATGTTTCATATGATCATAATATACCCTGTGGTTTAAGACAGGAGTCCCCAACCTATGGTGAGTAGTATAATTATTTTATTATATATTACAATGTCACAATAATAAAGTACACAATAAATGTAATGTGCTTGAATCATCCCAAAACCATCCCACCACACTTCCCGCCCCTGGTACATGGAAAAATTGCCTTCCATGAAAATAGTCCATGGTGCCAAAAAGGTTGGTGACTGCTGGTTTAAGATATATAAATATTATTATTAGGTTGATCTATGTAAAATTGCCAATTTGTAATCATTTTTGACCTACAAAATGGTTCAGCTTTATATGTAATACTGTAAAGGAAAAATTAGAAATCGGGCTATTTGGAGGTTGTATCTACTATAGTTATATTCCAAGTAAGTCTAGAATTTTACTTGTCCAAAGACAACTACATAGTAGAGGAAGTCAAGGCATGGATGATTACAAATCGATTAAAATAAAACCTTAATCCATCAGGTTTTCCTGGGGAATTTCTGTAAAATTAAACTTCCTGACAAATCATTTATGCTTTTTAGTCATAAAAGATGCTAATCACAGAAAGAGTAAGAAGCAGAAAATATGTGGTTTCTAATGACCAATGTTTTCTCATAAAGGCAAACATGCTGATATTTAAAAGGAAACACAGATACAATTCCTCTATTCCAATTCCTCTTCCAAAGAAGAAAGTAATGTTTCCTTTCAGTTAAAACTCAGGAAAATATATGATTTTAGAAACTGGAATCTATGATACCATATCAGGAATAGTATTATTTAGTTTGGCAATATTTAGGCATTTTTACTATGTATACTAGCAATATTTTGATTCCTCATAACTGTAAGTTATCTCTAATGCTTCACAGGCCTTGTAAACCCCAAGAATTTTGTAAGCGCAATAAAACAAAAGTGGCTGACTAGTAACATGGTTTGATTTGCGTTCAATTCCACTGTTACATATTAGTGGTTTTCTGACATTTTTTTGAAACCAAATTATAGTCACTGGGTTCTTCACTTTTCTTTGGAAAGGAACATTAAGAGTGCCATTTTATCTGAAAGTATCACAAAGCAAAATTAATCTGGATACCAACCTACTAATCATCTGTATTCTAGGTCAAAAGACAGAAAGAATACTGGTAAGATATTTCTAAAAGAAATTTTGTTTTCTTTAAGAATATAAAAATCCTACTTGAGTGTGTTAGAGACTGCTACATTCTTTAGAATGATTTTTAAATTCCAAATTAGTTACGCAAATTTTTCAGTTGCCGTTTTAATCACATTCTGGTAAGTACTATCTGCCAACTTGCTGTTAAAGTGCTACTGACTTGTTCTGGACAAATGTTTATATTGCCATAAAAAGAAAAAAATATGAGAAAGAAAAGCATATAGGAACATTAAATGAATAGCTTAAAAAAACTTTGGCTATAATTTTAAAAACTTAAAGCTGAGAGAAGGAAGAGAATAAAAGAACTTATTTTAATATCAGAACTTACTTTAATATCAATGGCTAACTAGCCAATTGAAAAGATTATTCAAAGGCACTCTCCTCTATCTTTTGAGGAGGCAAGACAAGCTCAATCATTAAATAAAAGGAGTGTGCACATGAGATACACACAGAACTGGTATTTCTAATTGCAACCATGATTCAAAGGAAACACTTACCACGTAAGGTAATGCAAATTCTTCACACATTTCTATGGCAATATTGTCTGTTTTTTGAATTCCGACAACACTGTCCACTAATAAAAATGTTCTCTTCAAACTATAAGAAGGTAGAAATGAAGATTAATGGCAATATAAGACATACTCATTCATTATCTTTGCCTCCCCCAGTATACTAAGAAATTTTCCTTTGAATGATTCTCAGTCTAAGATTTACACGCATTTCTTTAGACAAAGGAATTTTCAATTCATCAGGAAGTTCATCCTACAGTCTAATAGGTCTCAATGCTGTTTACTTTCAATAACTGAATTCACTAAATATTAATTTATTTCAATAAGCATGTATTCAATATAAGACACTCTGACTGGGACTTGATACAAAATGAGTGAGCCCCTTCCTCTAAGAGCTTAAACTCTGGTGGGAAAGAGAGATACAAATCCAATTAACTACAAGTTACTACGGAAATGTTTAACTTTTTAATATTACTTTAAGACTAATAGATAATGGAGACCAGACACAGTGTATTTTCCATTTTCTTATGTAAATATCTCATTTTAGTTTCTAGGCGAAGCTACAGCAAACAACCTTTTTCCTATACTTCAAAAGATTTACATTATTTTTCTAGATATTGTGCAATTCTTGAAACAGAACTGTCACTTGACTACATATAGGGACAAAACAAAAACTAACATTTTCAGAGGATGTGATATCTGAGGTATTTTAAGAATGATCAGAATTTACTTTATTTAAATCTGGTAAATACCACATTAACCAACAATTTTCATTTTCAAAATTAGCCAGTTAAGAGTTTGGTTTTAAAAAAATTAATGAACTAACTCTGAAGTACTCTATTTCAATTTCAATTTAGGAAAACACTTGAATTTAAGATAAAGCTAACCTACAGGCAGAAAACAAGTGAGCAATACATACCTTGGTTCTAAATATTGTATTGTAGAATATTATGAGAATAAAATGGACCTTTTAAAATAAGTCATTTGATAAAACCAAAGCGTTCATCATGTGTAGAATACTGATGAAAACATGCTTTAAGGTTAAATGTATAACTATTATAAGAAAATTTTTTCCTTACTTCGTTCGTTCTTTCAGATAGGCCTCTACCATGTCAACAAAATCTTTAGGTGATCTATAGCCATAACCTGGCATGTCCACCAATGTAAAATATTTTCCAACTCTGAAAAAATTCATTTTCTTTGTGTGTCCCTGATAAAGTAAATGGAAAAATAAAAGCTATCTTAAAATATATCCTTCATATACTTAATGATTCAAACTGTTTTCTATTTAATCAATAAATATTTATTAAAAGCCTAAGTATTATATATAATCCTAACTATGCTGATGATGACACAGGAAAAGAAGATAGAAGTGAGGTAGCTAGAGATAAGCTTAGATCATAGTACTTTTCCCTCCAATTCATTTTTTAAATTATACTTCTAATCAATGGAACAATTCTTTTTTTAAAACAGAATTTGTATGACTTAAGAAGAACTTTAGATCCCATATTAGAAATATGTAGGCAAAATATTTTGGAGCCTTTCCTATTTCATTAACTCTTGGTTAAAAACACCCTGTTTTAAACTGTTTGACTACCTTCGTCAATATTTTCTGATGAATAATGTATTTCCACTTTAAAGAGAAATGAATTATCGCACTGATAGGTTAAAATGCTTACCATCAGTCACACAGGTTTTCATAAAACCTAAATTCAAAGCCTGATAATTTCTTACACCTAGACTACTGCCTCCCTAAAATCAAGATGTTTTGCATGTTTTATTAGGTGGGTTACAGTGCTTTCATTAAACAATTTTTTAAAGCATGTACAACACTATAATTATAAAATATTTGTGCAACTAAAATTGATGTAAAGATGATAAAAAGTGGTTTATTCATAGTATTGTGTCCATAGGACATTTATTAATCAGAAAAGGAAAGATTAAGATAGGCAATTTAACAAGTTAGACAATTGTTTGGATCTTAGAACAAATATTATCAGAGAAAATATTTTTTATAAATGGTGATTAAGTTTCCAGTCAGCTTATTTGTCTATCTATAGGAAAATGATTTTAGAATTACAGATAGGGAATGTCAAGAATACATGTTTTTCATTGCCTCTACCTAGAAGTGTTTATTTGCTGAGGCAGGGCAGGAGTAAGGATGGGAGGGTTAAGAGACGGAAAGTATCATTATTGACGGAGCCAGAGAATCAACTATATGAAGAAGTGGGGACCAAGAAAAGATTAGTGAAGTCTCAGGGAAGGGTTCTAGTCAATGAAAGGCGAGGGTGCGGTGGTGTGGGTAGTGAGCATTAGGGTTGGTGGAATGATTTTGCCATGAATAGATAAGGTGAGGGGAAGTGAGGGTGAGTTTTGAGGAAAGGTATCTTACATACTGGTACAGTATACATTATTGAGAAGGAAGTAGAGGGAATTAGAAAATGACAGAAAGCAATTACAGCAGACTAGCTGGGATAACATAATTTGGCCTTAAGTAAACATAATACGCCTGACTGGTAATACGTGTTTGTGTGTATATGTATATATGTATGTGTATATGTGTGTGTCTGTGTACATATATAAAACTAACTTATATACATGTATACCTTAACTTTACAAGGTAATAAAAGATTATAGGAAGAAAAAAGCAAAAAACTTAAAAGTTGTTTCTCCTAAAATTAATGTAGAACTAGATGATCACTCTTATAGAAGGAAATATAGAATGACAATAAAACACTTTATTTGGCAACTCTTTGGAACATTTGGACACAGGAAGATTTCCTCAAGGTATTGGCAAGACTACTAAAATCCAGCCACAGTTCCTTCAGAGAAACACACAGGCATTAATGAAATGTCATACTTTATTACTTGTTTGAAAGAAATCACTTCTCTAGGAACTTAGCAATTATGATTTCTTGTACCTTCCAACATTCACTATTCCCTAAGATGAACAGTCCAGACATATTTAAAAATTTCAACATACCGGTTTTTTGGAGACTCTGACTTCAACCTCAGGGGCCAGTGAAAATAAAGCCTTTATTAGAGAGGATTTTCCAACATTGCTTCTGCCTATAAAACATACCTTATACAAGAAAAAAGATAATTAAGTACTAGTTGATATATATACATGTATATGTAAATAT